AACACCTGTGATCAAGACCCTCCCTGTCCCTTGTACACCCTCCCCAGAGCTCCTGCGTTCCCATCATAGTCTCCCCTCCCAACCCCCAGGTACCTGTCACAGGCCCTCCTGAAGCGCCCAGACCCGGTCCTCCTCGCCTCTTCAGGCAGGCGACCCGACTTGCTTCACACCATTGTTTGGCAACCGGGCTCAGTCACTCACGGTGGGAGGGCTGTCCCAATGTGAAGAAAGGCAAATCACAAATGTCAACTGGCTGAGGCCCAAGTGCCAGGTTCTTGCCAGAGGCACTACTCTTACACTAGCCGGCACAGTCTGGAGCCCGTAATGAAAGAGGCTGACAGTCCATTAGCAGCTGAGTGTCCGCGGGGCTCGGGGGAAGGGAGCTGTCATCCACCTCACTTCAAAGGCTTTTGACAGTGAAATCAACTCTGTGTGTGTGCGTGTGTGTGCATGTGTGTGTGCGTGTGTGTGTGTGTATGCGCGCGCATGTGCACAGGCATGCATGCAGGTGCATGTGTGTGTGCATAATATAAAAAGAAAGGAATATCAACCACAACTGTGCCTGTAAAAATGGGCCAACAGACAACAGTCTAAAACTGAGAAGAGGACATGTCAACATTTTTCTTGTACTCTGTCCTCCCAACCCCTGAGGGCAGGTCTGAGACAATCACTTAACAACAGAACAACCCAGAGCTGCCTCAAACAGATTGTCAAACTGCAGCGGGAAGGCCGGGGAGGGTTGGGGGGCGGGAGGTAGGGGGGTAAAAAAAAATAAATAAATAAAATTAAAAAACAAAAAATAAAAAAAACAAACAAAAAACAACAACAGAACAACCATGTCCCAGGATCAGAAGACCCTGAGGTCTTCTCATACACCCCTTCTCTGATGTCCAACTCTCCACTGCAGCGTTCCTGTCAAGTGTTCCTTTCTCTTGAATGCCTCTAGTCACAGGGAACTCACCGCCCACTGGGATGTGCCAAACATCTCACTTGCGATTCCTCTACTAGCTAGAAAGTTCCTCCTGACCTAACAGCTTAAACTTGGGGCCATATAACTTCCACCCATCGGTTTAGCTTTGCCTTTGAAGTCAAAGGGGGGATAAAAAGCCCAATCTCTTTCCCCCAAGACTGCCCTCTCGTGCGTCTCCTTTCCACGCTGCCATAGTTTTAAGTGCCCTCACCAGGCTGCCTAGTGCTCTCTGGACATGATCCAGTTTGTTAATAACATCTTCAAAACGTGGCTCCCATACCAGGATGTAAAATCTCTGCTGCAGCTGTTCCCAGTGTGAAAACACATGCATGTGCACGTAGAAATCAAGTTCCTAACTGGATTTTCACTAATTCCACATTTCACATCATACTGGCAAACACCTTGCTGAAAGCCAAGTGTACTGCACCCACAGCATGCTCTTAATCAACCACATTTGCTCTCTCAAGAAAAAATAAGGAAAGGGGCCCAGGAATGGATCCTGCTCCCCACCTGTGGCCCAACAGCACGGGGGTGGGCAGGACCTGCGCCTTCATGGTCCTGGACACTAATCTATTAATTCCACCTCCCATCACATTAACCTTCATGGAAGCCAGAGCTCACTGACTCAGCTGAGGTTCAGGCCAGGTCACAGGTTCAGATTTTTGCTTGTTCGAATGCAGGAATAACAGAAGAGTTAGTAAGATAATAAATTATGTGTTTGCATCTTCTTCCTCACCCCACGCAAGAGGCCAGCATTGGGCTTCCAAAGGCACCGTGGGTGGGACTTTGTGCAAAGGTCCTGCAAGGGGCGGGGAAGGGGAGAGACACTGTGAATAGGGGAGGTAGACAAGGTAGGTCATGGGGAGAATGGGTGCTTCCCGGAGATGGGCAGAAACGGGGGTGGGGTGGCTGGGACTAGTGCCTGCAGGCCCACGGTATTTGTCAGCGGAGGGCGCTGTCAAGGGCATTCTGAGCCCTTCCAGGGCAGACTGTCCAAGGAGCAAGGGCAGATTCCAGGGCTGAGCCCCAGCATGGCGGAGCAGAGAAGCGACCGTAGAGATAGTGGCAAATGGAGCAGGGCCCAGCCAGCATCTCTGGCTTCTTGCCCCACGGAGGGCCAGGAGTCCTGGGATGGGGGCCAGCCCGAGAGGTGGCTAACGTTAAATTTCCAGCCTCCCAACTGGATAAATCTGGATCACAGAAATAAAGGCCTGTGATGTTGTATTCCAGACTCATTAATAAACATCACACCCACCACATCTATTGTCAGCACTCCAGGGATCTCCCCCTTTGGATGTTGCACAGTTGATTTTGGGGGATCCAAGTATATTGCTTCCTATTTATTTGTGCTAAATTCTTCCTTTGACGCATCGAAGCAGCCTTCTGATTTGTTGTCATTCTCTAAGCTCTTCCTCCAAGATTTACAAGACTGGCGATTTGGGCTGCCTAATCCCAACCAGTAACAACAGGTGTTGAACCTGGCCAGACAGAGCAGAGGGCAGAGGGCAGAGGGCAGAGGGCAGGCACACACTTGCTGCCAAAGGCATCCTTGGCCTGCTGACAGTGACACGCTGATTAATGAGATCTCGCCCACAGCTTGTCAGTCCCCCAGAAATTCATCCAATAGACTGAAGGGCAGGCGCACACTGCCTGCCAAAGGCGTCCTTGCCTGCTGACAGTGACACGCTGATTAGTGAGCTCTCGCCCACAGCGTGTCAGTCCCCCAGAAATTCATCCAATAGACTGCTATCCGTTCCATGTTTCTCTTTGTTCATAAAGATATATTGTCAAATGCCTCACTGAAACCCAAATGTACTCTACCGACTACATGTTCTCAATCTATCAGCACAGAGACCCTCTCAAGGAAAAAGAAACATGAAAGTAGGAAAGGACAGAAGGAAACTAGGCTAATCTGGCCTGGCTGGCTCTTGATGAATCCACACTGGCTCTGAGTGGTCCCTAGTGTCTTTTCTAAGGACTCCCATCAAATCTGGCCCCATCCTACCCCAGCTCATCACTAATGATCATGTACCCCATCCCATCCCCACCCAATATCCCAGTGCCCCTGTGCTGGTCTCCAGAGATTTATGAACCAGAGTTCACAATCAGACAATAAGACAAGAAGTAGGAGGAAAGCAAAGAAAAACTGGAAACATAATTTTTATTTTATTTTATTAACAAGTCTAAAGAAAATTTCATTGAATTACAGATATAAATTATGGTGACCTGCATATAAAACCTGGCATCAAGTTTGGCCTTTTAGAAACATTTATGTATAAAAATATGCATTAAAATCTGCACCACAGCACAACGTGGAGGCTGACACCCAACAGGAGGGAGCGCTTACAAAGGTGGGTCTGGTCTGCGGACGCAGGTCTTGGTCCTACAGCGCAGGCTGAGCCCTGTGTGAAAACGATCTGCTCTGAGGAGGGGCCCAAAGAGCTGGCCTCTGAAGGCAGGACCCTGTGAGCACCAAAACGCCATACGCCTGGCGTGAACCAAAGATGGTGCTGGGAAGAAGGGCCGCTTCCCTAGTTCTGGGCTCGGGCCACTGTCTGAGGGTTCGGATCTCTATACAAACCACCTTCACCTTTGAGGAACTTCTGCAATTTCCAGATATGTTTTTTCCAAGTAAGCTAATTCCAACTCAAGGAGCCAAATCATATCATTAGCCTGATTTTCAGAACTAAGAACTAATTCTATGTCATTTTCTGCAGGTCACGCCTCTGAAATAGCTATCAGAATGGCCATCATCACAAAAGAAAAATATAACAATGATGGCCTCAATCTAGTTCAGTCTTAGACCAAATGCAACTGAGCAAGTCTGGCCTAGAAATTACACTTCCCAGGCAATGAAACGAAAAGCAGCTTTGAGCCGAACCAGTTTGGCTCAGTGGATAGAGCGTCGGCCGAATTTCCCCGTTCTGGGAGCAAGCTATCTCTGCACAAGGCAACTGAAGGCTCTGGGAGAGGCAGGGTCAGTATTGCACATCCGTCTTCAAGGCGGAAGATGCAGTTCTTTAGCTGGCAGGACTGTCATCTGTCTGAACAGGGTTAGGTGGGAACTTCCTTTCCGCCCAGGGCCATTTGGGTATTTATAACATCATTCGTGGGCCATACAAAATAATCACCTTAAAAGTGAGCCTGCTGTATTTAGTCAAACATTTCATTCACTCACCCCTAATGCCTGGGCAGGGCCAGACCAAACGGTTTAGGGCCGGACGTCCCCCACCCCTGGTCTATTGGCTTATTCCTTCATGGAGGAGCTGATGTCCCTGGCCTGCTCGTCCTGTGTCTCTGTGGCAAGTGGCAACTGTCCCAGGCTCAGCTGCTGAGCTGCTGCCCAGTCAGTCAGGATGCCAGGCTGGGAGAAACAGAAATGGGAACCTGATAGACAGGGAGGGTGGGCGTCAAGGAGCAACTGGAAAGGCAATTGGGCAGGACGAAGAAGCCTCGTGGACCAGAAGTAGCTGGCAAGGAGAGCAGGTGCCTCTACAATTTCAGGGCTCCTAACAGTAACTGAAAGGGCTGCGAGTCGTAGCCACCACCACGCCCCCACCCCCCATCATTCCAGCAGATTCCACAAAGGGAAACAGCCGCCCTGCCCATTCCCATCCTGAAGCTGCGATCTTCTCAGCTTCCTCCAGGGGTGGGTCTTTTCCCCCTTCCCAGTCCTGCTGGCTTGAAGTGAAGAGAGATCAAGAACAAAAGCCTCTGAATCACAATTTAGGCAAATCGCCTGGAGGCACGCTAGGCTGTCACTGAGGGACCTTCTCGGGCTGTGTATTTCAGGACCCAAATGCTCAGAGGAAGAGACAGGTGCTCTTGGTGTAGCTGGGCCTGACACCAGTCATTACCACATGGCTCTTCTAGGACTGGAGACCAAGCCAGGCGGCTCCTTCACCAAGTCTACTTTAAAGTGACCTAACAGCACCCTCTAGTGGAAATTATAAATAACACAAGGGCCATGCAGCCAATTCACCTTCTGATACCAGTGATTTCAAGATTCCCCATAACACAGGACAAGACATTATCTTTAACAACGTAATAACTTTAAAAAGGTGCGAGTTTACAAGCCACCCTTAGGCTCCTCACTGCCAAATCACCTTCTCTCCTGAGAAACTGCTTTCAACACAGTCTCAGACAGGGCGACCTGCTGCCCGAGGAGCTCCTGGTCCCCTCAGAGTTTGGGCAGGCTGCCTGCTGGTGCCAGGATGATGCCAAAGACGTAGAAGAGCCCCAGCAGGAGGTTGAGTTTGGCGGTCCTCTGGGGCAGTTTGTTGAAGGTCTGGCTCCGGAACTGCCTCTCCAGGGAGAAGGCCATGGGAATGGTGAGCAGCGGGAGGGCCAGGCTGATGCTGTAGTGCGTGGCCAGGATGCTGAAGATCAGGTAGGGCAGGAAGAGCAGCGTGTTGTAGAGCATGTACGAGAAGGTGGGGCCGATGAGGATGGCGAGCGTGACGATGCCCGCCTCCCGGTCGGACTCCATGTCCCGGGTGTTGTTGGAATGGAGAATGGCCTCGGTGCTGAGGGCGAGGGGGATGGCGTACACCAGCGGGAAGACGGCCAGGGACCCCACCTGGACGGCGTAGGCGAACACCACGGCCAGCGGGCCGAACGTGATGAGGATGATGAGGTCTCCCAGAGCCACGTACTTGAATCCAATCCCTGTGGCCGGAAAACCCAGAGAGCTGGTGTGAGATCAAGGACTGTCATCAGTCAGAGACCAGCCACTTCTGGCCGGGAGCGCTGAATTCTCAGCGAGGAGAGGGGCCGTCACTGAGTTCCCTCCCCTCCGGTGAGATGGTCCAGAGAAGACTGTTCTCTTAGCACTCAGTGAGGCTTCAGAGTCACACCCAGTCTTTCCTTCCTACTGCCCCCCAACTACATCCTGCCACAAGAGCTGTGGGTTCCCATCACACACAGAGTTCCACGGAAGAGCCGTGAGGGTCTGAAAGGTCTTACAGTCCAGTTTCCGGCTTCTTTCACCCTTTCCCAGCCCCTGCAAGACACCACTTCTGTCTGTAACACCGCTGGGCCAGCTCTCACGGAATATCCAGCCCAGTCTCTTACGCTTCCGCCTCCTTCCTCTACAACCTCTGCAGGCATCTGCTGGTTTTGAAACAACCACCACCACCACCACAACCACCACCCACCCCCCAGCGAATCTCAGTGAAATTGCAGGGCTCCCAAACTCTGCATAAAGAAACCTTCAGCTACACAATGAGTAAAAGAGCTAAGATGATGAAGTTACAAAGCAGCTTCCCCTCTCTGGTTCCCATTAAGTTAAAACTAAGTCATCCTTTAACTCCTCCTCCTGTACTGCTATCGACCTCAAATCCTGTCTAATCTACTTCCGTAAAAGCTGCCCAGTTCTCTGCAACCCACTCCAGCCGCACACTCCAGCCCACCTCACCCCATCTCCAAACCCGAGCAGTGGTCATTATATGTCTGGAACACTGCAACAACCCCAAATTGTTGTACGAATGGCTTCCATCCTTATAACAACCTCCGTCCCCCTTCTCCCCTTACCCCCCCACCCCCACCTAATCTCCACATGCAGCCAAAGTGATCCTTTAAATATACTAATCTGAGCCCTAACCGGTTTGGCCTGCGGACTTAAGGGTCCCAGGTTCGATTCCGGTCAAGGGCATTCTGGAACCAATAGGGGGTGTGCAGGAGGCAGCTGATCAATGTTTCTCTCTCATCAATGTTTCTAACTCTCTGGCCCTCTCCCTTCCTCTCCGTAAAAAATCAATAAAATATATATATATTTTAAAAATACTAATCTGACCATGCCCCTCCCCCCCTGCCACATATACCCAAAAACCCTTATCAGCGCATTGTTCTCAGGATAAAAGCCAGACCTTTCTTTCTCCCCTCTGGCCTGCCCTGGCTCTCTCCTGCTCACCTAAAGCTCTCCTCCCCTCTCCCCTCATACCTTTCATTTCCTGAGGCCTTGAGAACCATCTTCCCTGCTTTGCCTGGCTGACTCCTACTCACCCTTCAAGACGATAAAGGCCATTCCTCACCCCTTCCTTCACCCCTACACCACATTCGGTCCCCTTGCAACATGTTCCATGCACCCTGACTTCTCCTTTCATAAACTTCATCACACTTCTCATCACTTCATCGCTGTCTTTCCCAACAAACACTAGATTCCATGAGGGCAGCACCTGTGTCTAGCTTGTTCACAGCTCGCTCCCCAGCACTTGGCACAAGGCTGAACTGAACACAGAGCTACAATAGCAAGCACCTGGAACATGGGTCGGAGGTCAGACAGACATCCCACTCAGAGTAAAGCAGCACGGATGGGCGAGAGGTGACCCGTCAGTCAGTGCAGACCACAACCCTGAAAGGACCCCTGGAAAGCTGCTGGATGCTCTATTGAGATCTTGCCCCGCAACCTCCCCTAAGATCTCCCTTAAAAATCTTAGGATAAGGCCCTGGATGGTTTGGCTCAGTGGATAGAGCACCGTCCCAGGTTCGATTCCGGTCAAGGGCACATGCCTGGATTGTGGACTCGGTTCAACGTGCAGGAGGCAGCCAATCAATGATGTTTCTATCTCACTTCCTCTCCCTTCCTCTCTGAAGTCAATAAAAAAATATATAAAATATATACGAAAGATAGTTAAAAATAATTTTTAAAAAAATCTTAGGATAAGGACCCAGCATGCTCTCCCTCCCCTTCCCCTTCCCCTCACCTCCACCATCACCTTCCTCACTCCCAGGCTCCAAGGGCCCTTCCTTTGCCTCCACAACCTGTTTCCTAAGCCCCTTCTCTTAGGAATTACTTCTACCTCCTTCTACCCCTGTGACTTAGCAAATCACTGTTCCCTTACAGTTTGGGCCTACAGCACACCCGGGCTGGGCCAGGTGACTGATTTCTGTGCACCACCACCAGGCTACCACGGCACAGCCTCCACAGGAAAGCTGCTTTCACCACCTAACGCGCTAAGGGTCCATGGTCTACAGAGGGTCTGAAGCCCGGCAGACAAAGAACAAGATTCAGCCAAACATCACTTCACTAGTCGTTGGGCTTCTTTGATTTCTGCGCCGCCCCCCCACTTCAGCTTTACTGCGATATAATTAACATATAACACTGAGTAAGTGTAAGGTGCACAACGTGTTGACTTGATACCCTTATATTGCAAAATGATCCCCACCATAGCGTGAGCTAACACCTCCATCGGTCACCTGACAACCACCCTCGGGTCTTAAGAACAAAGTGCCCCGGGGCCTGAAGCACAGGCATGCCCCTTTATGCCCGCCAGCACGCAGCAAGCCGACTCTGTGCTCCCCGGCAGCGTTTTGATAAACTGCTTGGTTGTCTGAGGACATGCCCTCCAGGAGGAAGTTCTCTCAAGCAGAACATTAGCTCCAGTTCTAAATTAGTAAATCGATGTTTCCTGCAATAGCTCACATATTTAGAGGCCTGCAGTAATCCCCTTATCCTCACCCAAGACCCCAAGTGGGTGCCTGAAGCCGCAGAGAGTGCTGAACCATATATGCACTATGTTTGTTTCATGTGCATTCTGCACATGCCTTTCCACTTCAAGGAAACACTTTATGGCTTTTCTTCGGCATATCCCAATTGCCAGCATCACTGCTCTTGGATGTGAAATAAAGGTCACTTGAACGCAAGCACTGTGATATCTCTACAGTCCATGTGATAAGCAAGACAGCTACTAAATACGGCTAATGCCAGGGAGCGCATACAGCGAGGATATGCTGGACAAAGGGATGATTCACTTCCAGGGTGGGACAAACCAGACAGCCCAAGATTTCATCACACGACCCAGAACAGCTCGCAATTTAAAACATAGTTGTTTATTTCTGGAATTTTCCACGTAATATTTTTGGACCACAGAAAACTGAAACTACAGAAAGTGAAAGCGCAGATAAGGGGGGACTGCAGTAGCCCTGCCCAAGGAGGAAGAGGCCGGGCAGGAAGACTCCCAGCGCAGATCTGGCTTCTTCACCAGCTGCCTGCTTTCCTGCGGCTTATGTTCTCAGCTCTCCGAGCAGAGTGAAGGGCTCTGACTAGGACAGAAAGCACACAGCTCTGACACCCTGACCTCTGGCTTACCCAAGATTACCCAAGAACACCTCCTGAGAACACCGAGCAAAACAATGATGTCAGCAAGCTGACAGAAACCTGTGCCTGCAAGGATAGCCCCCACCTTCAACAGGCCTCACCCCAAAACCAAGCAAACCCACTGTAGGGGTGAAAAAGGTCTAGAGCCTCCTACAGCAGTGGTTCTCAACCTTCCTAACGCCGCGACCCTTTAATACAGTTCCTCATGTTGTGGTGACCCCAATTTCATCGTTACCAATTGAACATAATTAAAGCACAGTGATTAATCACAAAAACAATATGTAATTATATATGTGTTTTCCGATGGTCTTAGGCGACCCCTGTGAAAGGGTCGTTCAACCCCCAAAGGGGTCGCGACCCACAGGTTGAGAACCACTGTCTTACAGGCTAGCTGACCCAAGAAAACGCTAGTGCCCTGAGGAGACAGCCCAATGTCCTAAGTGTCCAACAGGTGGACACCTGCTCCAGAGATGTGGCCCACCTGAGCATTTCCTTTAAGCCACGCCCACCCCTCCCAACACCATTTTCCACAGTGAACTATTGGGCCCCATCTCCACATAGCAGCTGGAATGAATTCGTTAAAACAGGAATCAAAATGTTGACAAGAATATGGAGCAACGGAAACTCTTGCATATTGTGGGATAGAGCAGGACAACCACTTTAGAAAACACTGGCAACTTCTCATAAAGTTAAACATCATCTTCCCTAGGACTCAACAATTCCCTTCGTAGGCATTTACCTAAGGAAAGTGAAAATAAATATCAAAAAACATGAACACAGATGTTCAGGCAAAATAGCCAAAATATGGACACAAGTCAGATGTTGAGGACCAGGAAAATGGATAAACAAACTGCAGTATGTCATCCGATGAACACTAATCAGCAATACAAAGGAACTGCTGCCCTCGCCAGTTTGGTTCAGTGGATAGACCGTTGGCCTGTGAACTGAACGGTCCCAGATTCGATTTTGGTCAAGGGCACATGCCGGGGTTGTAGGCTCGATCCCCAATGGGGGACTTGCACAGGAGGAAACCGACCAATGATTCTCTCTCATCATTGATGTTTCTATCTCTCTCTCCCTTTCCCTTCCTTTCTGAAATCAATAAAAATATATTTTTTAAAAAATAAATAACAAAGGAACTGCTAATGTACATCATACATGGCAAATCTTCAAAGCCTCCCGCTGGGCAACAGAAGCCAGGCACAAGGATGCATACGGAATGATTCCATTTCCATGCGGTTCTAGACCAGGCACAACAATCTGCGGAAACAGAAATCAGAGCACTGGTGGCCTCTGGCTCGGGATGGGGAGAGGGGGTTGACAGAGAGGAGGCACCAGGAAACTTCTGAGGGTGATGGAAATGTTCTGTATCGTGACTGGGTTTGGGTTATACAGCCATATGCATCTGTCAAAATTCATCAAACTGTAACACTTAAAATCTGGGCACTTCACAGTATGACTTTTATTGCTATATAATTGACAGTGTTTAAAAAACCATAAAATCAGATTATGTCATTACTCTGCTCAATATATTTTATTATCTCCCCATTTGTTCATCCCATGAATATTAAGTACTGACTACATGCCAGACACAGTTCTGGGCACCATGGGTTCAGAGACTAAAATCCCTAACCCCAGGGAGTTTACAGTCTAAGAGGGAAGATAATTAACAAAGTACGCACTGACTTACGCTAAAAGGTAGTATGCTGTGATGAAAAGGCAGAGAAGAGCAATAGGGCAGGTTTGGGGGGGTGAGACACAGGGTGCATTGTATGTTTGTGTGTAATTTTATTTTTTCTCAGCTGCTGCAGAAAGCATTGTTTTGTAACTTCAAGGAGGGTAGAAAGCAAGGCCTCACTAAACAACTGACAAATGGGGAGAGTAGGTTAGAAATGGAATCATACAGATAGAAGGGGGAAAGCATTCTAAATTCAGGAAGCGGAATCTTCAAAGGATCCATGAGGCAGGAGCATTCCTAAGTGTGTTTCAGAAACAGCCAGGAGGGCAGTGTGCTGGAGCATGTGAGAAGGCAGAGGAAAGGAAGAGGACAGATCGGAGTGGGGGGACTGGAGAAGATGGGAAGATAATGGCACTGGGATCATTGTCAAGACCTCAAGACCTTGGCCTTTACTCTGAACATGATGAGAGCCACTGCCCACATGGGTGTGGCTCAGTGGTTGAATGCTGACCTATGAACAAGGAGGTCATGGTTCTATTCACGGTCAAGGCATGTGGTCAGGGCACATGCCCAGGTTTTGGGCTCAATCCCCAGGAGGGGGCATGCAGGAGGCAGCCGATCAATGATTCTCTCTCATCATTGATCTCTCTCTCTCCCCTTCCTCTCTGAAATAAAAACATATTTAAAAAGAAAAAAAAGATGGAAGGCATTGGAGAATTTTGAGCAGAGGACTGATGTAACTGCCTGTTTTAACAGGATTACTCTGGCTGCTGGCTTGAGAACACCCTGCCAGGGACAAGAGTGGGTGCACAGAACTCAGTAAAGAACCTGCCAAATACTCAAGGGAGGTAAGAGTGGCCGTGGTGAGAGGCGGTGAGCAAAGGTCAGATCCCAAATACATTTCTGAAGTAGAGTCAACAGGATTTGCTGATGGACTGATGCATGATGTGAGAAACAAGTTGGGATGATGCCTGTGAAGAACTAGAAGGAAGAAGTTGCCACTGAGTAAGAGCGGGAAGCTGTGGAAGAGGTTTCTTTGGGGAGAAGACCAGGAATTGGGTTTCAGACACGCGTGGCTGGAGGTGCCTGGAGACCTCGAAGAGAAGTTACCGAGTAAGAAGCTCAGTAGGAGTCTGGAGTGTAGAGGAGAGATCTGGGCCAGACGTATAAATTTGAGTCACCAGTTTAACAGATAGCATCTGAAGCCATGAGACTTGGCTAAAATCACGCAAGGAGGAAATGGAGACAGAGGAGAGAGACCTAAGGATTAAGCCTGCAAGCTGGGAATGAGGAGAAACCCACACAGAAGACTGAGGCCCTAGTAGACTGCCGGGAGCCGGTCCATCCTTGCTGTTTCAAGGGACCTGGCATATATGGCATACTGTTCTTAATATGTTTGCTCACCTTCTTGGCACTATGTGTTTTAACCAAGGTCACCTCTCCGAGAAAGGTTGTTTCCCCAGGTAGGGATTTTCCCCTGAAGTTAGGGAGGGAATAAAACCTCTTAACTA